TAAGTAGTTCAATATTAATTGCTATAGATGAAAATTAAAGACTTAAAATATAAATATAATATAAATTGTATAACATATGTCAAAGAAAGTGTTAATAAGAATATGTTAATGAGAATTAACAATAGTAGTACAAAAAATCTTTTATACTAACGTCTTATCATATATTTCCGCATAATTTTCCTGAGGACCAGCTGGTAATGTCAAATATTCTTTTGGTTCAGAAGTTAACATTCCATGACAATAGATCGACATGCTTCTTCCACCTAAGACCAAATTATATTCACTATCCTTGGTAGTTTTGAAATACTTCTTTACCTCGAGACAAGACATTGCATAACATTTTCTTTGGTTGCATTTTTGCTTGCGTTGCGGCTTGAATCGCTTAGGACATTTGTAACGAGCTACTTTTCTACCATCTCTATCTAAACAAAATATTCTTCGTGTTTCACGACCCTTCTGTCCACAGGCATGACTGCACTGTAATTGAAATTTTTTCAAGTTATTTCTTTAGCATTTTATTTTTTTTATATTTTAATAATATTAAATACATTAATAATATATAAAATTATTTGTTGATTTTTTGTCAGTATTTTAGCATATATTTTTTATTTATATAAAATTTAAATTTTTCTTAATCAAATATTTTTAAATATAGAATTGCTATTGTATTTTTTTTTCTATAAATTATCCATGGAATATATTTTGTCAATAAATTATTTATATTTTTTCAATTAAAAAAATTGAAAAAATTTTTTTTAGTAACCGTATAATTAAAATATTTTCTCTTTTTCGCATAATATCATTCTTGATTTTTTTACATTATGAAAACCTCCTTGCACATTCTGTATTACTAGTAATAAATCGAAACTTCCAGCATTCTTTCACAAGATGGCACTGATTATCGAAATTTTTTGATCATTGTCTAATTTATCGATAAAAATTAAAATATATATTATATATATATTTTAATTAATAGAATTATTTGAAAAAAATTTTTTATTTATATTTGCTATTATATATATTTTTATATATAATGCTATTTGTATAAAATAAATATATTAAATTTTAGAAAATTTTAACATGCCACTTCTTTTTTAATTATATTTTCTTGATACAAAATTAATTTAATTAATTTAAATTTTCCAAAAATTTCGATTTTGTAATAGAAGAATATAATTTAAAAAAAGAGTAGATACAATTTTCTTTATACATGGACTTCTAGAATAAAAAGTCAATCAATACTTTATTTTGTTATGTTAAACTTACTTTTTTCCACGGTCCAGCATACCAGTAATACTTATCATCGCATTCTCGTAATTTGCAAAATTGTTGATTCTCAGGTTTTTGATCAATTGGACAATTATCAGTGGGCGTAGGATCGATCAATCCATACCGATTAACACGATGACAGCTTACTGTTCTTGTTTGAATTCCTTGTCCACACTCTTTCGAACACTTGAAACAAATCAATTGACTATAGAATAAAAATGATGAAAAATTTTTAATTTTTATAATGTTTCATTTATATTTTATTTATATATATTTAGAATATATATTAAAAAAAATTGTTATATTTTTTAATTTTTTAATGGAAGTAATGTTTATAATATCTTTTAAGGTTTCTATTATTTATAGAAAATTTCTCGAAATATTTTTCAAGAATAAGCAAAAAGCGTGATAATTTATGACAAACATTTCATGGCCATACATTATTCATTTATATAAATTGTATAAATTTAAAAATTGAATATTCACAGATATTATAATGATATATAAATGTATATAATAATACATAAAATATAAAACAAGTAAATTGATGTTTTATTAGAAATCATTAAAAATTTTATCTTACAATTATTTTTATCTTACAAAAAAGAATTATATAAATTAATTATTATTTATTTTTCTTGACAATTACTATAAATGCAAATCTTTTCTTTACAACATCTTATATATATAAAAATAATGAAACATGTAATAATTTTTCCTTGCAATAAATTAAACTGCAAACATTTTAATGAAACAATCATTTCGTAATCTGCATTCTATTGACTCATTCAATAGTAAATAAATGTGCGTTTTAATTAAGAAATAAATATAATAGATAAATATTATTATAAAATTATGATATTCCATGAATGCTTTATGAAATTATAAATTTATGCATTGGTATTAAAAAAGAATAATGAATGACATCAATATCACATGTCATGCATATCGATGATTTCTACATGCTGCATCAATAGAATATATTTCAAGAAGATCATACAAGTCGCATGCTTATTCGAATGATCAAATATGCAATTGCGAATCAACTGGAATTAACACATAGAGTTATTATATTGTTAATAGGATGAATTATTATACTATTTTTGGAATAATTCCAAAGGAAGAAACAAATATTTTTGTATTAATTTCTTTGTATTTATTCTTGAGATAAATAAAATAAAATAAAAAAGTTTATCTTTAAAATGGAAAGAAACATTAGAGGAACATAAAGATTATTAAACATATTAGGATAATATGAATTTTGGATTAAATTGCATCTATTGGATCTTCGAATACATCAAGATTTGAAAAAGACTGAAAAATATCTATCATTGATGTGTATCAATTTTTTAAACTTGAAATTAAATATAAATATATGATAATCATCATGATAATTGTTGAATTGTTTATAGTTCTTTATCGAAGAGATTAACAAAAATTGATTAAAGATTAGTGAAGACAATGTCCCTTGAACCATACAATAGGATACGACTTCCCAATGAATATCAATTTCTTCAAAACCAATTTTGAATATCGAACATACAAAATCGAGTTTACAAATATATTTAATCATCAAATATAATATGTCTTATTTAAATTAATTAATATTTTCAATTCATATTTTTTTTTATAAATATTTCAAATATAGTCATCACAATATAATAAATTTATAAATAATTTTTCAATTATTTATTCGTCAAATTCATCAGTAAACTCGATCGAAAGATCAAAACAAAAACCGAATATGGAAATTGGATCGAAATGATCAAGAGCCAAGCAATGCAAAACATAATCGATAGATTATAGATCATAATGGCGAGGTATGAAGATACCTCAGACCAAGATCCTTCCTGCCAAATATAGTTGCAAGCAATACGTCGACAGGACCTCTGTGATCTCGGTTTTCTTAGACCAAGTCTCGAGCAGTGCTCGTCCCTTACGGTTACTTCCGGCCCGTGGTTTCCTCTCCTCATTGTGCATTCGACCCTTCGTCTTTGAAGTCCAGTACCGCATGATTTCGAACACTGCAAAACATTTTCGTTCGATCCAAACTGCGATGGAAACATCTTAACTCTCTTCGACTTCTGACATTTACACTTCCTTCCGCATTGAAAAAGAATAGTTTTTTGTTCTAATCAAGACTTATTATGAAATTTCAGAATCCACAAAACAATGAGTAGAAATCTTTTTAATAATTTCAATTTAATTTATTCTGTTAGAATCTAATAAGGATTATTAATATTTTTACATAAGATTTTATATAAGATGAATAATATTTTATATAAGATGAATAATTTTTATTTTTTATTTATTTTTTAAAAATTATTATTCTTTGTTACATACATTCTACATATACATTGTAGAAATTTGTTTTTTATAGAGTATATTAGAAGTTATATTAATATTAATAAATATTATAAAACTGATAACTTAAACAATGCTAAAATTAAAAATTCACAATACAAATGAATTAATTTAATTAATTTATCTTGATTGATAAATTGAATAAAAAATTCAATCTATAATTCTTATTTTATGTGTAAGTTAATAAAACTATTTTCTTTTATTCTTATTATAAATAATATTTTCATATAAATAATAACAACAAATATAGCACAAAGATTATAAGCAAAAAATTATAAATTTATTTTTCATTCACAATAATATATAGTAATGCTTTAGTTATAAATCGAATAATCGGTTATGATTTTACTTAGTATAAAAAAAAAGCGACATTAAAAAGAAAATAGTAAAGAAAGATGGTACTTACAGGAGTCCAATTAGAAGTTCTCCATTTGCGGAGAATATTTACACAAAATCTTTTTCGACAGATTTTCTCTGCTTCTGGTTTTTCGCTCTTATGGCAGTTTTCGTCTGGTATACTTTCACCTTGTGGATTTTGACAATATACTCGTCGATATTGAGTTCCTAATCCACATTCTACATTACACTAAATTGTTAAATATACATTAGTATTATTAAATGTCATAAATAAAATATCGATATTGTTGTTATTTTATAAATTACTCATTAACTAACCTGGCCCCAATCACTAGTAATCCATATTGGACAATGATAACGATTGCAAGGAATTTCAATAGATGGTTTCTTTTCATTATCGCAATATCTATCAGGTGCAACAATTCCTGTTTCAATGGAAACACATTTTATTGTTGTGTTCATGTAGCCTTTAATGCATGGTCTAGAACACTGAAATATAAATAATAAGATAAGTTTATTATTTTTTTTAATTAAATATTTAATAATTATATTTATATATTAAAACTTAATTGCAAAACTTATTATATATCTTTGAATTAAACTTATTATATAATCTTTGAATTAAAATTGTGAAAATTATAAAATTGAATGAGAATTATAATTGTACAAATAGTAACCTTTTGTGTTTCAGCATGCCACTTATATCCATAATGGAAAATTATATCATGAACTTCGTTGTCTTGTTGGGAAGGAATTTCGTATGGTGGATCAGAAGAATATTTGATTGGTGTTACATTCTGTAGGAAAATTATATAATTTTATGTATTAAAATAATGAATAAAATAAACAATAAGAATATTAAAGCAAAAATGTACCACTGTTGGACAAGGTTTCAATATACAAGCTGTAATATCATCTGGTTTATTGGAAGCCGAACATTTATTACTTGTAATTCCATCAAAAGTCTTGCAAATGACTTTTCTTCGTTTTATCCCTTCACCACAAGTAACTGAACACTAGGCAAATAAAAATTTCATATTTTTAAAATATTTCATTCAAATAATCATTAATTATTAATTACAATCTTATAATTTCTTAGAATCATTTTAGATTCAAATATTATAATGTAATTATAATGTCTACTTATAATGTAATAATAATTTTGTTACATACTGCGCTCCAATCGCCCTTGTGCCATTGTTCACAAGGCCCAGAATTACAAGCTTGAGTAATTTCTGGAGGGGGTTTACCACAATAACTATCTGGAACGACGCGGTTCTCTATGTGACATGCATAATGTGAGTATTGTTTGCCTATGCCACATGTTACTGAGCACTATTATAAAAAAAAAAAAATTTCTAAAACAATTATGTTTATGTATTGATTAATAAATAAGTTTATTAAATTAATGTAATATGTTATTTAATTTAACATATACAAAAAAATCAAAATAATTTAGATAAATAATTACATTACTCCAATTTTTGAAAGTCCATTTGGGACATGGGTCATTTGCACATGCATTTTCTAAAATCTTCCTTTGTCCCATACAATTTTCTTCAGAAACTGTTCTTTGATTGGAGTCTATGCAAATAGCTGTCCTATATTGAATTCCACCTCCACATGTAGCATTGCAAGCACTCCATTTTCCATAACTCCAATGAGCATCTTCACAGGGTCCCATGCAAGATTCTATTTCATTTGGCCGTTCAAGATGAGCGCACGAATGTGGTGGAATTGCACGGGGTGGATGATTCGAATTCAATAATTTTTGTATACATCTAGAAGTGACTACACGAGTTCCTAAGCCACAGTGATTAGAGCATTCGGAAACTGTGATATTCCATCTGGAATAATTTACAAAAATATAATTTTTTATATGTTGTTAATATTCATAAAAAATCATAATCAATAATAAATTAATTATGTTGATTATTATAAAGATTGATAATGAGTTTATTAAATAATATTTTAAATTTATTATAATAAAAAAGTTTAAAATATTTTTTAAAATGATGAAAATATATTATAATAAAAATTAGAAATATAATTAAATTGACTATGAGATTAATTCGATTAGGAACTAATTAATTTTTAAAATTTTAAACAATATATACTTACTCTAATAGACAGTGATTATTACACATTTGACTTTCTTCCCGTGGTTTTTCTGATTCGCGACAATAATCATCGGCAACGATCTCTTTGGATTCAATATTCGTGCATTCAGCTTTACGATATTTTATGCCTTGACATGTGCGAGTGCAATCCGACCAGCCGCTTAATTTCCATTCATAACTTTCTAAAATCTTTCTTGGCACTGTATATTTGTAACTAATTTGAGGTGGATTTAATTCGCTTACTGATAAAACCTGAAACATTATTTTTTAATTCAATTATTTAATTCAAATTATTTATTAATGTTAATAGAATGTGGTTATTTTGAAAAAAATTAATTGCACATACTTACTTCCAGGATTAAGTCAGTTTCGATTGGTCTGGAAGTGTTTAAACGTTCCACACGCGAATCACGTCCACTATATTCTATAGTGACACCAATATCTACGATTATCCTTTGTGTCATCACTTTAAAATTGCCATTTACTATATATTTTCCACCTTCTCCAAGTCGCAAGGCTAAAAAAAATCAATATTTCTCAACAATAATAATAAAGTTTATTAATTCTTTAAGAATTTTTCTAAGAAAAGTATTTTGCAATACTTTTATATTATAAAAATATATTTTTATATTTAATCATTTAAATTTAAGTATTAAAGATTAATAATTATCATAAATATAATGTATGAATAAAAAATTGAACTAAAAGAAATATAGGTAAAATTGAATAAATAAGTTTTTCAAGTCTTCTTTCTAGTTTTCCAGATAAAAATTCTTAAAAAATATTTAATCAGACAAATCTTTAGAAATATTCTCAAAATAAAAAATTTCAATCTCGAAAGATATTAGATACATATTATTCAAAGCTCAAAAAGAGATAAATACGAATCAAATACCGAGATAATTGCCATCATCTATCATATCTTTCCAACCAGGTTGTCTGATGTCGATGTTATTGCTACCCGCTGGGATCTTGGCGATTCTGGTATAACCATATTGGGTGGAGTTATAAGAACCTGTGATCCATTGACAGGTGGAATTGTCACCCTTGCAGACACCGCATATATCGAGTTCCGCCGTCGAGTTTAACACGTGATCGCAACCCGCTGGTTTACAGAAGCCATTCACGCATATGTGAAAGGTATCCTGGTCGCATGGTGTTCCATCGATCACCTTTTCCGCCAGCGGGTAACACTGATTGCTGTCCGTTTCACAGTACAATTTACAACGTTCATGCGGCAATACTGTGAACCAGGAAGAAAGAAGAGAAATTGTAATTCGAGGACGAGAGAAGCGAGCGATGACATTCTCAGCCATGTGCCAGAATCCGGATTATTATACTCACTCTTGGCGTGCCATTTAACGTCCCTCGACAGATTCTTTATGTTCAAATTGTTGTTATTGAAATATGAACACTGCTGATCCCTAGAAATTGAAATAAGAATAGGAATTAGGAATATGATGGAGATAAATAAGAAAAATATAGCAAAAGTTTGAAAAGGTCGAGAATATTTTATTGAGAATTAAATTAGTTTCTTCAGAAATGTTATATTAATTTCATTTGTAATTTCTTACAATTATAAATATATCATGGTAAATATACCATGGAAATTGAATATTGTAAAGCTTATAAATTTTTTTTCATAATCTTCTTTCTCTTAATCATCATATAACCTTTTTATTTTTACTACATTTCTCTTTTTATCTCTTTTGTTAAAATTTCATATTTAAAAAAATCTATACGCCAAAGTTATTTAAATTCAAATAAAGTATAATCTGAAACGAAGTTTGAATTCTGAAAAATAAAATAAAATACCTGAAATCAGGAGTTCCCGGTGGACACTCCCTCGTACCACAGCTTCTATATTTGACCTGTTCACCAATACAGTAACGACCACCGTTCTGCGGAAGTGGATTGTCGCATTCACGGTATTTCTTCTTGATACCACCGCCGCAGGTTCTCGAACATTTTCCATATCGTCCCCATTCGCCCCATTGGCCGTCAACCGGCTGGAGATTGAGACTACGTGAGACGCACTCGCCTCGATAACACCATTTGTCTCGGCCACAGGAAGTGCCATCAGCCCACGGCATATGCTGGGTACGACAGTGATCGTAATGGTCTTCGTTCGGTGTGGTGCACCACAGTCTTCTGCACACTGCCTGGCCGATAACCAACCAACCGCTCAGTTTATCTCAATTCTTAAGCACTACGTTCGCTGCGCACTGTTCACGATACTCGAAATAATTATTTATTATAACTTATTTACTTAGTTAACGCGAACTCATCAATCTGAATAATTTCTGAGATTTTGATCATGATAATTTAATATGAATGTAACGGCCAATTTTGCATTTATATTGCATTTATACAATATTATTCATTCAATATAATATTGCTAACTCTTAAATTCAAGGATTCAAAAAAGACAGTCAATCAAAATTAATAATTGTGATCATCTTCTCTTTTTTTTAAAACTTTCAATGTAACTAATGTATAATACACACATTTAAAAACCATTTTCTTCAATTTCAGAAACAATTCAAAATTTTTTAATAAATTTTAATTAATAAATGATCTTGTGAATTGATAATTATAAAATGGTTAATGGCGATTAATAAAGTCTTATAACAATGTCGTAAATAATCCATCCTTCAACAATACATACGTACAAGAACTTACTTACTGACTTACCATCACCCACCATGTGATTGCAGATTCTGGACCCGTTACCGAATACCAGTTCGCACTGCTTGTTCACAGAATAATCTTCCCCGGGTAGCCTTCTCGGGTCCGTTCGTTCCATTATCTTATCCGGCGTGTCCAGCAAACAGTCCCCCTTTCCGGCCCTGAAACGAATTTCACGAGACTTGAACGGGTCGTCCGGAGGGGGGCTCGTGCATCATTCGAGGACCGAATTTTTGTCGGAAACGGATGGGATCCGCCGGTGTGCGCGGCGGTCATTCAGAAATGCAGCGGAACCGGATTCCTAAGCGAGGAGTCGCCTTCTTCGCAGAAAAATTTACGGCAGAATCGAGTTGTCCGATCGAATCCAATTTGGATTTGTTCCCAACGGGTGCAGTGATTTATGATTTCTGCTAGTTTCCTAGTTTCTTAGTTTCCTCATAAAATATAATATAATATTTGAGGAACTTGGAGGAAAAATGGTAGTGATGATATTTTCAATTTGAGAAGAGTCTGGATAAATTTTAATCTATTAATTGTTGATGCTAGTTGGAAAGCTACTCTTCTTATAGAGAGTATAAATAATTTATTCATCTATATTTATTTAAATTATCCTAGATATACTAGATATACTTTTCCTTTAAATCATTTGACTTTTATCTTTTTGGATTACATGGAAAGTAGATTTTATTTATTTTTTAAAATTCTATTTATGAAAATTAATTGTATCTTATTCATAGTTTTATCATCACAATCATTTCATAATTTTATATGATTTCATGGTCTTTATATTGATTGTATGGTTTGCCATCTGGATCTCTCTCTCTCTCTCTCTCTCTCTCTCTCTATCTCTCTCAAAAGAAACAACGACAAATTTCTTTATACGAATATTCTTCAAAGAATACGCGTGATCATCGGCGGCCTGATGAAGAAAAAGCAAATCCTAAATTCTAGACTAATGAAGTCTGAGATGTGTTCAAGGGGCGATCTATCAGTGTCACGCTTTTCGGAACGAAGATGGCCTGTCAAGGTAATGACTAACTCACTCGAGAAACTCGGTGACGTAGTGTCGGGAACATTTCGACCATTCCCATGGAAAGGTGTTATCGTCCAGCATCCTCGACATTATGTTATGCATTCCGGAACGATTCTTATAGGCTGCACATTTCACGTCATCGTCGTGGGGCATGTCCAATCTAAAATGCAAGTAGATTTTTAGATCAAATCTTGTGCAATAATGTTAATATATTAATATAATATCAAAATTGACGAGACAAATATATTGATTGGAAGAACAATTTTTAATAATCGGTATTTTATGATAATTCAATAATAATTCGTTATTGCAATTATTAATAAAAATATTCGATATTTGATTTGTTTTTTAAAAGAATCAATATATTTGATAATTTTACTCACACGTGGCCAATCTCATGAGCTATTGTAAATGCAGCAGCTAGACCATTATCCTGAACTATAGCGCACGAGGATCTTGGTGAACACATTCGTCCCAACTCGGCCAATCCCAAAGTGTCGCAATTCCTCTGGTCAGAATTGTGACACAGATTTTCCCTGTAAATATATTTCCCTTTATTATTTAATATTATCAATATCTTTTAAAAGTACTTTTTTTTTTCTTTTTTTCAAATTTTGAACAACTTGAGATTGCTTGCCCGTAATTTTAATGAATCTTTTAAATTAATTCCAACAACGAAATCAAGATCGTTCAGTGAATTTTTCGATCAAAGTATATTACATAGAAAAATATTCTCCTACGCTATAAAATCAATAATAACTAACTCGATCAATCGCTCGCAAAATGGCTACAAAATAACAATAACAAATCTAATAATAAGATACACACCAGAATATCAGTCCATCCTTAGATTTCTGAAGAAGTTAGCTAGTGGAGCGTTAGAAGAGTCTTTATAAACGATTTTACAAAATTTTATATTAGAAAAATTTTGGAACCATTTTGAAATAAGTTAACGAGTACCTGGTCAAAAGAAGAGCAGTATCGTAATGTCCTGGCGAATATTCATTCGGATTGTTGCTCTGTTGCCATCGGCAAAACTTATTCAACATGTCTGCCGCTGCGATTCCCTCACCCTTTGTACGTCTAACCCCGAATATTTTATCAATTGGAACGATGCTCATCACCGATATGCTTATTGGATTACCGATAGATGGATCTTTGTAGATACGTGACACCTGAAAGAAGAAGAATATTTATTCAGAGAGATTTTTATCGGGACAAAATATTTTACGTTTTTATTATATTTTATTATATATTCATTTTTATTTAGTTTAATCAGAATTTAAAAAAAAGTTTCAAGCTATGAAGTAGCAATTGTAGGATTTTTTTTTATCTTTATTAGAGAAAAAGGGTAAAAAAAGTATTATTGTAATTGAAATAAATAATGTTTTAATGTTTTTTTAATTTTTGTCAGCTTCTCTAATAATCTTTTCCTGTAAAAATTATTCTACTAATGTTTCTCTTCGCTTGATTTATTTGTCGAAGATACTTTTCGAAGATTAGGATCGAATAAAAATGCGTTAACGTAATTGCGTTAATTAAGCGAAAAAAGGCGAAATGTAACAAAAACTTTTTAAGCAAGAGATTTCTAATTTATGTCCTCTCCTACGATAACATTCGTCTGATTAGTCTATCAAGAGCCTATCACGCAAATCCTCGTTCCTCTACGCTTCTTTTAACTTTCTAAACTCGATAACAACTTATAAATAACTAGTTCAGAGCTGTCGCTTATACTAATAATAAATCAATCGAATCTTATAGGGAAGTTCGCGAACTACTTTCAAGATATTTGAATTATCCAATCGTTTCTCAGTGGATTTTCTTTCTTTTTTTTTTTTTTTTCAAGCATATGATTGATTGCAAATTGAAAATGCAAATAACTTTTATTTTGTTTGAGATTTGTTTGAAACTTAATTCTCTTGCGTTGAGTTTCATTTTGAATGTATTATTTCGATATATCATAGATCTCGTATTTTTTATAATTTCAATTACAAAAAAGTGAGAAAAAATCTTTTGAAAATTATTTTAATTTTGATATTCCTTGCGAATAATTTTTTTGAATATTTTCTTAAATTCAAGAAAGATACATTAGACAGATATATTATTTTAAAAATAGTATTTCAAAGATAAAACGAAATAAATAGAAACATAAAAATTTTATAAATCATTCAGAAGAAACAGGGAAAAAAATCACACAGAAACTATCTTTGAATCATTAAAATAACAAAAGTTTCTTTATTCAAATTCTTCTTATCAATTATCTTTAACGACTTCTTTAACGTTTTCAACACAAAATTTGAGACATAAAACAGAACGATAATGATTTCGAAATAATTTCAACATAATTTATACATAAAATATTTCAATCCTTTCTCAATTATATTTTATTCAAACATTTTCTCTTCAACGACAATCATTTCTCTCGTTACAATTTCAAACGCAAATAAAAAAAGAAAAATTATGCTTGAAAACTATATCTTATTATAATCACTTTTGAGATATTTACAATAAAAATTAATCAATAAAAAAAAAAAAAAAGAAATAACGACAATATACATAAGTTCCTTTAAAACTTTAAAGATATCCCCCTCGACATCTTCTCTTACTCGAAGCACGCACTCCACTCGTTTAATAATCGGTGGGACAATGATTTTTACAAAGGCGAGCCCGATCGCATCGTTGATGAGTCGTTCGAAGAGGAAAGGGCGAGGCCCTTGGAGAAAGAAAGTATCAAAGAGACGAGACACGAGGCACGAGCAAAACGAGTACATACATACCGTGCATAAACAATGCGGGACACAGTCTTAATTAGTAGCGTGTCTCGAATCCCAACAGGGATCGCCCAATCTCCCTTTGGAACGAATCCGTGGGACGTATGATAAAACGCGGAGGATGCGTGGCTGCTCTTCGATTACATCGGTCAAGATCCTCTCCTCGTTGCTTTTTAATTACACGCTACTTACTCCACGTTTACAGACCACCTTTTAATTCGTTTTTTTTCTCTCTTTTCTGCTCCTTTTCGTCGACGCATTTGGTCGAGCAAATAACTTTTGGATAAGACGACCGATATTGATTCCGATCAATGTGAATTTCATAGTTTCTGATTCATTTATTATACCAAGTTGAAGGATGTGAAAAGAAAGGCGAAGAATTTAATGATAGTTTAATGCTGATGATTCCGAGAAACTTTGAAAATTCATGAAAGTTGAAAAGTTTTGGGGAGTTCAAAGTTTTATAAGGAAAAATTTACAATCTTTACGGATTGAAAAAGAAAAGAGCGTAAGAAGCTAAGAACGATTTTGAAAATTTCAAAATTTAGAAATTAGAAAAAGAGAGAGAAAAATTTAAAATAAGTAAAGTTCATGATCGAGAAGAGGTATCCTTATTTCATCTATCTTCCTCCTTGAACGAAATCGAATCCATTCAAACGACAAGCTACGCCTACAAACGATCCCAATTAATTCTTGTCTGCTCCCTTAACTATGATCCGCAATTAAACCGACCCCTAATTGTTCAATAATGATTCGTTACAAGGGACAATACAGCGCGTAGATTACCAATCCCCCAATTTACTTACTGATCCCAGAAAATCTTCGTTTCGAGCGATTAACCAGCCGTCTCGAACTGAAACGAACTTTATTAAATGAAACGAACGAAAGAGAGAGAGAGCTTGATGCGTTCAATTGGAATAATTCCTCGGCTGATGTGTTACTCCATTGCGGTTGTTTCTTCAAAGATTTCTGCTCTGGAAACGGTTAGCACGATTACAACAGATTCGTGCACGTTCAGGATCACCAGCTCGCTGGTAATTGATTGATTAAACGCGTTTCAATCCACGATCCGGCGTGATTTGCCTTGTAAATGCATTTGCCTTATTCTTTTTTTCTTTTCCACGGCTGCGTGACGTTTCAAAATGGCTCCTCGACAGGCCATGGACGTCGGTGAACGCGGCTGGAGGAGAGTTTAGAACGATTGAGGCAAGAACAGGTGTTCTAAGTGGTGCTGTCGATCGTTATCTGGCCGACAATGATACGGCGAAAGCGAGACGAATTAATTGGCTGAACGAATTAATCGAGGTGGTGTGATGGAAATCCCCGTGGATTTTCTCTTTAAGTTTTTCATCCGTCTTTGATCAATTTTTTTTTTTTCTTTGTTTGGAGAGTATGTAAGAATCAAACAATCGAGGGAATGTTGTTCGTTTCAAATATAGGAAGAGATATTAGTGGCGGGAAAACGTATTTATTGTAAATGAGAGAGTTTTTATTCCTCGTGGAACGAAATTAAACGTGGTAATTTAAGAGTGATCATTTGTTTTTTTTTTTTTTTTTGTTAGAAAAATGGGACCATAGATCGAGAAAGGGGATTGAATCGATTGGAAAGAAATTGTATTATTGAAGCGGATGTGTTTTTTTTTTATTTAAATAG